GGAAGCTTCTATTGGGGGGGGGGGAGTTTGGTTTCTGAAGTAGTTGGAAAATCCCCAGGCTACAGGATAAAATTTAGTATATCATGCTAGGCTCTGTGTATGATACGGCTTCTACCTGTTTCATCAATTTTATCTTCTCTAATCTTTGTCTCACAACTTTTGAATTATGTATTCAGCAGCACACGGACGTCCCACACAGGAAGCAGTGCTGTTCGCTTGCCTCTGTGCTTTCATTAGTACCACCTCACCCTCTTAAATCTTACCCCAACCCTTTCCTGACTAATTTCTCTATTTTAATGCCTCTTTAGGCCTTCTCTCTCCTAGGAAGCCTCTGCTTACCACAGGCTGGGCTAGGTCTCTCTTTTATATGCTCCCATAATTTCAGTTGTGATTTCTAACTTCATTGTACTTACTACATTGTTATATGACTCTCCTCTATTAACTGTGCAACTTCCTAAGGGCAAGGGTAAGACTATCTTGCTATTCTTTGTATTAACAAGGCCTGGCATATTTCTAGGTGCTCTATAAATGCTGCACTTACGTACATGAGGCCCACAGATTGGCGCGGCCAAGGTAGTGGGTTGTAGAGTACCTCCTAATATATATTCAGTACCATCATGCAAGGTCATGATAGGGTCCCATTGTCCAGGGCAATCCAGTGCCTGAGTTACATTCACCACACCAACTACATTCGTGTTTTCTTGCCTTGAAGTTCTTACAGTGTCTATAGGTAGATTCTTAGAACACCATTTGAGTCCATAACTTCAACTTTAGATGGAATTTCTAGGCAGGATATATTGCTATAGGGAGTATTAAAGAGAGATAGGGAACCTGGTAATCATCTGCCAGTCAGAAAAATTCATGTGGCATGTGAAGGTATAGTTCACAATAAACATCATTGTTCATTCTTCTCTCACCTAGGATTGCATTTTCTAAGGTAAGATTAATATTTACTAAATAAGTCTTTGTTCAACTATGTCAGAAACCAGAAACAAGTTTATAATAAATTTAATGAAATTTCTCTTTATTAAATAGATAGGGATACTTTTTAAAAGATATTGCTGCTGATTTGCCAAATTTGTCACTAAGCTTGTTAAGAATATCTTTTTCAACATTTTAATTGACAAGAAATTAGTTTAGCTTTTTATTTTCATTTTAAAGGAGTACTGGGATTTGGAAGTAGTTATTCTAATGAAATTTGTCCAGATATCCATAAGGAAAAAAATATTAGTAGACTAGTTTATTTTCTGATAAGTTTCTACTGACTTATTCCTTTCATTTAAACTCTCAGGTATTAGGGTATACTATCTAGAGCCTTTTGGAGGTTCTACATTATATTAATTTGCAAACAACTTCAGTTGCCTCATTTCTACTTTTACACTATGAGATTATTCTTTGCAGAATGGAATTGTAATTCTGGTTGCATTTTTTCAGCAGACTATTAGTTTCCTGAGATTTAATTTTAGAGTAAGTTAACTTAGTTTTAAGTTGTTTAGAAAAAAAATGGATAATTTAATAATATAAATAGTGATTCACAACTATGGGAAGGAGGCAAAATGTTGTGAAGATAGCTTGTAATCTAGCTCTTTCTGAATTAGGAATTATTGATTAGACTAGTTGTTTGCATTCATTTTTAATAGTATGTGGAGGTCTGGAAATAATAGTTTTTCTTCATGTGAAGGTTTTTGGGGGGCATTATTATTTTTTAAAGTAACTTTTTTTATCCTCAAATGAGGATATGTTTTTTTACTGCTTTTAGAGAGGGAGAGAGAAACATTGATGTGAGAGAGAAACATGGATTGGTTACCTTGCAAAGGCACCCCAACTGGGGATTGAACCCACAACCTAACTATGTGCCCTGACCGGGAATTAAACCCGCAACCTTTTGGTGTATAGGATGGTGCGCCACCCAGCCAGAGTGGGGGCATTATTTTATAGTTAAATTCTGCATTCACTTATAGAGGGCCTTGTGATGTTAAAACTTCACCTTCATGCAACTGAGACTTGTGTAAATTGACAGTAATGTCATGGTCTTTAGATCTGGATTCTTTAAGGTTGTCTAGTCTAACAGGCTTTTCAGGTGAGGGAACTAAGAACACATTAAATGACTGCTCAGGGTCCCATGGCTAGTTAAAGGCAGAGTGGGGCCGAAAGCCTCTGTTTCTGACTCTCATTCCAGGTCTTCTCCCGCCACCTCTCCCTTATGGTAGACAGAAACATGAAAGATGTATATGTGGGTTCAGGCGCACTTGGTTACATGTGCAAACATTCTTAATCACTTTGGGATTTCAGGTTACGTTTTATATTTTTCCTTTTCTCCTTAAGCCCTATCAATTTCATACGTACAGAAGTGCTGGTTAATCATTAGAATCCACATAGGAAATGCAGTATCTAAAATAGGGACAGATGAAGCCAAGGAGAGATTTAAATAGCATGATTATACTGTATATTGCCCTTAAAAAAAGTTCATTATGCTCCTGATGTCAAATAATAAGTGTCCTGGAGATATATTTCTCTCTATGAACCTTGCATTTCACCTTCATCTCAGAGTAGGAGGAAACTGATAAGCTATTCATGGATGTTCTTGACACCTGGAGAGTATTTATTCTTTGGGGAATACATTATTTGAGAAAGGGGGAAGCAATGTTTCTTAAATCTCTTTTCTGGAAACCTGTGCTTCGTAGTCTGACTCATAATACATCATCTGCTTGCTTGATCTATGAAGCTGTTCTCAGTTTCCTAAAGTGGATGGTTTGATAAAGATATGTTTCAGTAATAATTATGAAATCAAAGTCCTTTGTTTTTTTGTAGATTATGTAAGTATCTGTGCTCTTGGGGGGGGGGG